TTCAAGTCTTAACTCAGTTAAATAATATTTGAGAAATGAGGAGATTCTCCTCCTCTCTCTCTTTGAATAGGGTACGTTTTGAACACAAGACTTTGAACTGAGCCTAAGCGGCTCAGTGTCGTTCAACATTCATAACTATAACTGTTTGTTGTGAAACAGGTTTCTACATAGTACACCAATCAGGAAACATTTACACATTTCTCGGCGATTCTCAACAACAATCGTTATATTATTTGTACGGAGGTCTGCAAGTAATACTTGACTATTAGTCCCCCGGAAAGGTGCAATTCTTACTTATTATTAATGTTGACTTTCTGCCCCATTAGGGCGAAAATATTTATGTTTATTTTTAAACGACATTTGAATTGCGTCGCTAATTCACGCGAAAATGTAACTCCGAATCAGACATATGTAGTTTAGATGCCTCCTCCTGCCAGTCAGGTGTTGAAAAGACAAGTAAATTAATTGTAGTACTTGCAGACTTCCGTAGTGTTGTGGACACTTCCTCCTAATGGAAATCTGAACTGTAAAAACTTTCGCCCTTACTTCGAAACACTTTCATTTTTTTTTCGCTTCTTGTTGCTCACCAAAAGGTTGTTTTTTTATATTTTCATATAAATATATGATTAACAGTCTTAGCAAATATAAAATATTTGAAATCTCATTAAATCTACAAAAATATTTTATAAATTTTTGTATGTTTTACTTTTCCTAAAATAATTTGTTTTTGCTGCATAGGTTTTTAAATGACCCATGTGATTGTACATTTGTTATTATATCGAACCCTTATTTCCACTGTGTGGTAACAAGTTAAAATAATGAACTTCAGGTGCACGAAAGGCACCAATAAGGTCAGATAACAAGAATCTCGTCAAGCAGTTACCCACCTGGAGAGAATCTCGTCAAGCAGTTACCCACCTGGAGAGAATCTCATCAAGCAGTTACCCACCTGGAGAGAATCTCATCAGGCCAGAGGGTATCCAAACTTGCAACTTAAGGTAGCTATATCTGTATTAAAATGGTTTTATTATTACCAACTAAAATCCAATACAAATTATTTCAGAACGCCCATACGGCATTTCGATAGATAGTACAAATAATGTTAGGTTAAATACAGTGTGGTAACACAATTTTCATCGTCCTATCACTAGGCAGAAGGTTTAATGATAATCCTGCTAAAATCAAGAGAAAAATGACAAGTGCGTTGTAACGTATCACACTTAATAATAATACAAGCGCGTTGTAACGTACGGCACTTAATAATAGATACAAGCTAATATGGGAGAAAGAACTGTCAACGTGTTGTGACTGTTATCACAACAAAACGTAATCAAGTTCACGTATACATGGTTACTAACTCATCAACATAAGCAAATTCACAACTGGTCACTGACACCTCACAATAAGCAGCTAACGCACTCTTTCTGACACAACATAGAAAGCTTCACACCATTTTATTGATATAACAGTGTGATAAGTTTCACATTATTTCACTGACACACACAACAAGAAAAATATATTCACATTCTGTTATTTATATAATAACATAAATAGATTCATATAAGCAGATTCACATCCTCTCACTAGTACAACCACATAATCAAATATACATCCTCTCACTACTAACACCACATAAGCAGATTCACATCCTCTCACTAGTACAACCACATAATCAAATATACATCCTCTCACTAGTACAACCACATAATCAAATATACATCCTCTTACTAGTACAACCACATAAGCAGATTCACATCCTTCCACTAGTACAACCACATAAGCAGATTCACATCATCTCACTAGTACAACCACATAATCAAATATACATCCTCTCACTTGTACAACCACATACGCACATTCATATCCTCTCACTATGACAACCAGATAAGTAGAATCATATCCTCTCACTAGGACAACCACATAAGCAGATATACATCCTCTCACTAGGATAACCACATAAACAGATATACATCCTCTAACTAGGACAATCATATAAGAAGATATACGTCCTTTCATCAACACAACGCCCAAAATAGATTCATATCCTGTCATTCATATAATAACATTAGAATATTCGCCTCATCTCACTAACATCGACATTCACAGCTTCACATCCTCTCACTGACACATTGTGTAAGTATATTTGTATAATCTCTCTTACGTAAACAGGCTCAAGTTTACACCTGATTACTCATATACGAACAAAGGCAAATTCCTAAAAATAAGCACATTCACATCCGTTCACTAACGTACCAACATAATCAGTCTCATATCTGATGTCTAGACAACATAAAGACGTAAGCAGACTCATATTCTGACAGTAATAAACAGTAAAATCCCATTTAAACGTTAATTAATACACCAGCAAAAGCAGCGAAAAATGCAGACTGGATCTCGTTAATTACGTTCTGGAGTAAATAGGTACATCAAAATCAGCAGTATCAGTAAAGGAGATTAACATCCAAGTTACTTCAGATATATATTTAATAATATCAAGATAAGGTTTAGACAACGTCAACGTAATCTACAGGCCACATCTGGTCAGTATGTCTGTTTTATTAGCAAGTTAACATTCAATGCACGTGGTTAATATTTATGTTTCATCAGCAAGTTAACATTCAACCTACGGGGTTAGTATTTCTGTTTAACCAGCAAGCTAACATCCAACCCACGTGGCCAGTGTGTCTGTTTTACCAGCAAGCTAATATTCAACCCACGTGGTTAGTGTACATTTAAATAGCAAGCTAAAATCCAACCCACGTGGTTAGTATGTCTGTTTCACTAACAAGCTAATATTCAACCCACGTTGTCAGTGTGTCTGTTTCACTAGCAAGCTGATATCCAAACCACGTAGTCAGTGGGTCTGTTTCACTAACAAGCTAATATTCAACCCACAGGGTTAGTATTTCTGTTTAACCAGCAAGCTAACATCCAACCCACGTGGTCGGTGTGTCTGTTTCACCAGCAAGCTAATATTCAACCCACGTTGTCAGTGTACATTTAAACAGCAGGCTAAAATCCAACCCACGTGGTCAGTGTGTCTGTTTTACTAACAAGCTAATATTCAACCCACGTTGTCAGTGTGTCTGTTTTACTAACAAGCTAATATTCAACCCACGTTGTCAGTGTCTGTTTCACTATCAATCTGATATCCAAACCACGTGGTCAGTGTGTCTGTTTTACTAGCATGCTGATATCCAACTCACGTGGTCAGTGTGTCTGTTTCACTAGCGAGCTATTATCCAACTCAAGTAACTAACATAGAGACACTTTTTTTGAGTCACAAGACGGACAGGAGGATTAGGCACATGTCTGATTCGATTTTCACATTTTCGCGTGAAAACATGGTAATAAACATTAGAACTGCACCTTGCGGGGGACCACACCGAAAGTGACAATAGAAGGGTCGAAAGTTAGAATGAAACCTTGCTGCACTATTATTTATTTTTCTCCTCTCGAAACACTTCAGCTTGAAGATGTAAATCGAGTAAAAACGAAACTCATACAGAATGACTGGAGTATTTTGAGAAGCAGTTTTACACAGAACGATTTAAAATAATTCAAAACGTTTTATCAAAGAATTCTACAAACAATAGTGTCACATCAGTACTTAATAACACACACGAAAAGGGATCATTTGTAATTCATGGCTTTTCATTCATAGCCAACGAAAAGAACAGATGACTCTGAGGCTTACAAGTTATTATAAGGTACCTGATGATGACAAAACCTTGTCGAAACGTTGTACATTTGCTGTTATATTAAAGTTTTTCTTCATTACCCATTCAAGCCGTCTCCAGCCATTATTATTATAAGGTAGTTTGTTTGTATATTTTAGAGCAACGCCACCTTGGGTTATCTGTTGTATCCACCGCGGGAAATCTAACCGCGGATTATTGTGTTGTGAGTCCGTATCGCTGTCCCACTGGGTGGCTAAAGGATAATGTAAATATCATGCTTGATTTATTTTAACTAAGTGTAAGGATGACGAATACAAGTTTAGTATAATATAATATTGTCAGTCAGTCTAGCTAAAAGGTTATTTGTTCAAATTATAAGAAAAAATCAACTTTTAAACTAACATTTTTATAGTGTGTTACTCATAAACTAAGTGTAAGATTATTTGACATACGAGATTTAAGAAATAAAAGAATTTATTTATAAATTTTCCGTAACTGGAAAAAAGGTTTTTGGTTAGGCGTGCCACAAATAGAAAGCGATTGATGTGTGTTTGTTTGTTTGTAATTAAGCACAAAGCTACACAATGGGTTATCTGTGCACTGCCCATCACGAGTATCGAAACCCGGTTATTAGCGTTGTAAATCCGCAGACGTTCCGCTATGCCACTGGGGACCACGCGACAGATGAAACGCACTGGTTCGGTATCTTAAGGCATATTGTTAATGGATGATTTAACGACATATTTAGTGTTTTAATTTGCGGTAACTATTAACACTTGGGTCTGATATGGCTTCGCGGTTAGGGCGAGTCGAGCGCCCTAACCACCTGACCATGCCGGGCCACTTTCCCTATGAAAACGAAAATAATATTACGAATTGAATGATATAAAGGGAAGCTAAGTGTGCTGATTTAATGGACGAACGTTCGTCAAACCTTACAGTTTGTTCTTGTAAAAAAGATGGTAACTCCTTACAACCTGATGTGGCCTGGACATATTGCTTAGAACACAAAGATCGATCGTACGTTTTACAGATCAGCGAAGCTTGACATGATAGATACTGAAAAGTTGGTGAGAAAAAAATATGCTGAAGAGTATAGACAAAGAAAAATAAATAAGATTATAAACGTACCTGTTTAAATTTCCAATCACAATGAAACATTAATGTAGAAACTCTTTATAATTTGTTACAAAACATTTAAAAGTTGTTTCTTGAAAAACCTATTCATAAGATTAACGAAATGAAATAAACCATCAAACTTTTGGAATCGTTAGGTAATATTTAGGTATATCCGTACAAAAAGAAGTCCTCTAAAATTAGTAGAATAAATACTTGCATTTATTTTTAATCGTAATAAACCTAATTACAACTCAAAAAAATTCCAACATCAAATTTTAACGTCACTGATGAGTATAATGTACCAGCGAGGAAGGGTCCACAACAATAACAAAAACGTCACCCCTCAAACGGTGAACTGCTCAGATATCGAAACAGTCTTGCGAAAACAAGTAATTAAAAATGTTTGTTGCAAACCTTTAAACCGCTCTTCATTTGCAGGTTTAATCTTTTAGCTGTATGCATGAAGAACTGTCTAGTCTTCGTTCCACGGCTCACCGTATCCGAAAATATGCTTGACAGATGACGTCATCTTCCCGGTTTGTGCACACTATTGTTCAAAATATTCAGCTTAGTTTTAAAGTCCCATCTTCCCAAAGCTTCAAGCACTTCGTGGAAAGTAATCACGAAATAAATACTTGTTCCTAAATCTTGTCCCTTTGTGTAGGAGCACCATATAATATCTAAATTTACACGGACGTTTAATTTCTTTTACGAAATCAATCTCTGTTACGTTTTCACGACTTGAAAGGAACCCAGAATTGAAAGAAAGAACTGAAAAGGAAATTCCTGAATTAAAACAGGGAATTTGTTGTGTGTTTTGTTTCTTCGTCCGAAAAATTATTATATCAATTCGGAACGACGAAGCATGAACTATCTGTCTCGCCAGTTTACACTCATAAGACTCTTTGGAAGATCGAAAACGGCGTCAATTAGCGTCAATAATGAAGTTCTGAGACTGTATTCATAACTTTATATACATATTGAGACTCTGAAGCTAAAATGATTGACTAAGTTGAACCGTTTTTTTTTAGTTTGTTAAAACACACGCACGTACTGATTAGTCTGTAAGTTTTCGATTGTGAATGCTGATGCTTCATTAGTATTTCTACTAAGTCGTAATTAAGTTCGCGAGTTAATTAGCATTACAACAACAAACAACATCGAATCAAAGACAATGTACTTAAATGTTACTTCATTTTGTATGTACCATAAAATCTTGTTACATCAGTGGTCATTGGAGGAACAATTACAATGTTGGTAGTGATTGGAAGATTAACGGAAGCGTTGGTAATCACTAGAGAAACATTCGAAATGCCAAAATGATTCGCAGGACATTTCGAGAAACACTATAACATTAATTGTGAACTGGAAGGAAATTATAAATTCCATAATGGTCGAAAGAACATTTGGAAAAATTTATTGGGACTGGCGGAGAAGTTAAGGAGCCTGCTATGTTGAAGAAAGAAACTATTTATCCAAACAATGTCGATAGAAGAATCTCTGGAGATGATCTGCGTCTGATGAAAGAATAGCAAATTATTACGTTTATAGTTATTTTGATATTCGGTAAAACATATCTAGTAAAAAAAATGTGTGTTGATACAAATTGGAAAACAATATGCAGTTTCTGTTGACCATATTCAGAAAAACCAATAACGAATTCGATAATTCTGCAGTGATTGGCAAAATACACTGGAAACAGTTATGTTAATTGTTGTTGAACAGAGCAAGTATCTTAAAACTTGACAGTAAAGATTTGCAGGAAAACACTCGCTGAAGCTGGGACTTCGGTATGATGTGAAGGAACTATTATGTTGAACATCTTATTCCGGCAGTGATTGGTCAATCTTCAAATGAATACCCAAACTCTTTGTCGAGAAAACAAACTGCGATGAACTTTCTTAGTCGGTGGAATTTCCTGTTGGAGTTACTTTCATCATAAATTAATAGATAGAGGTTGGCTGGAAATTGTTGTTGTAGTAGAATGTAAAAGTTGCTATGTCTACCTTATAGGTTCTGAAAGATAATTGTTGAAATAACATATGTTTGCATAATTAATGTTACGTAACTTTTAATTTGACATTCACAGATGGCGCCAAACGTTGCATGACAAGCAGTTAGCATCACAGTGTTCACATCCTTTTTAACTTTGCAAAAAAAACAGTACATTTTTTTAGAATAAACCAAGAAACAAATGATGACGGGCTTGTAGATTTCTTCCCCCAAATCGACTGATAGAGAGTTGCCAAACGTCGCTACAAAGAAGGAGATAATAATTAAAATAAAAGGAAGCAACAGCAAAATAACAAGTATGTTATCGAAAAATATCTTATTTTATTTTACCTACAAATGGAGCACTCAAAAACAAGTCATTCGAGTCACGTTACTATGTCAATTACTGTTCATATTATTATATATTATTACAAAAAAAATTAAACCTACAAAATAAATCGTTCATTGGAAACTTACTAAAGCTATTTCATTACTTGCTGTATCTATTTCTAACTAAGTTTTCGAGATGGTAATTTTATCAAATTAAATCAAAGTTGCTCGTAGGCAGGCATCTTTAACTTAACCGTTTTTAATTTATATACCTTTGGATGGTTATAATCCAGTGAATAGTCAGCTTGATATGCGTTTAATCCTTTCTTTACCAGAAGCTAATCATAACGAGCAAAGCTCTATAAGAAGGTTAACCTGATATAAGTTTAACCCTTTCTCCATCAGGAGATAAACTAAAATGCAAAACTCTATGAGAGGTTTAATTTGATCTACGTTTAACCCTTTCTCTATCAGAAGATAATCTTAAAATGTAAAGCTCTATGAGAGGGTTAATTTGATTCAAGTTTAACCCTATCCCTAAATGAAGATGCAAAGCTTTATGAGAGTGCTTATTTGGTCTAAGTTTAATCCTTTATCTACCAGAAGCTAAACTTAAGATGCAAAGCTCTATGAGAGTGTTTGTTTGGTCTAAGTTTAATCCTTTATCTAACAGAAGCTAAACTTAAAATGCAAAGCTCTATGAGAGGGTTTGTTTGGTCTACGTTTAATCCTTTATCTACCAGAAGCTAAACTTAAAATGCAAAGCTCTATGAGAGTGTTTGTTTGGTCTAAGTTTAATCTTTTATCTACCAGAAGCTAAACTTAAAATGCAAAGCTCTATGAGAGGGTTTGTTTGGTCTAAGTTTAATCCTTTATCTACCAGAAGCTAAACTTAAGATGCAAAGCTCTATGAAAGTGCTTATTCGGTCTAAGTTAATTTTTTTATTTACCAGAAGCTAAACTTAAGATGCAAAGCTCTATGAGAGGGTTTGTTTGGTCTAAGTTTAATCCTTTATCTACCAGAAGCTAAACTTAAGATGCAAAGCTCTATGAGAGTGCTTATTTAGCCTAAGTTTAATTTTTTATCTACCAGAAGCTAAACTTAAGATGCAAAGCTCTATGAGAGGGTTTGTTTGGTCTAAGTTTTTCCACCTGAAGTATTGCTTAGGTAAGTCATGTAACACCCAACGATGAACAGGTAGTTATATAAGAGACTTACATTCATGTGGAGTTCATCATTTTTCTGTCAAAAGCTACACTTAAAGAGAAATTTTCTTTCGTTTTCTGTTTAAGGACACTTAATTAAACGAAGCGAAAAAAAACTACATAAATGGAAATACTCGTACTTTACTAGAGATTTAATATCACATACACGATCTTTCTGGAAACTCATAAACTGAAAATATTTCCAAAGATGGCAAAAATATTTGTATTGTGCACTAACAAAAAAAATAAAACAAAATGCTTAGTCAAATTTCGAACTAAACAGTGCAGTGCCCCTAGATGTTTCACTACTAGAGAGATAATCGTTGTCATAAGAGAGAATTGATGGCAGTTGGTTCAAATAAGAAATATATAGGCAGGAAATTTCTGATTGAAAACGTTTTCTTCGCTTGGTATGGATAATTTTCGTTAAAAGCTAATTAATAATTAAAACGAAGTTCGGTGATTTCTTGAAGAATCGTAGGGTATTTTGAATGTTAGGATTATTTCATGCAAACTGATTATTAAATTCGTTTGATATTGAATAGCAGCAGTAGAAAGAAAATATAAGTGGTTTCACTGAAAACTTCACACGTTCTGCAGGAAGAATTTACTACTAATGCAGAGGCACCAAATGTGGCCTAATGCTCAACGTGTTGGACTATTGAACGAAGGGTCCAAGGTTCGCGACGTAAAGCTGTTGATCACGCTCCATAATTCCAGGTGTAACTACGTTTTGAAAGGGAATTAAAATAGTTGTGTTATTGTTTTGTTTTTGAATTTCGCGCAAAGCTACACGAGGGCTATTTGCGCTAGCCGTCCCTAATTTAGCAATGTAAGACAAGAAGGAAGGCAGCTAGTCATCACCACCCACTGCCAACTCTTGGGCTACTCTTTTACCAACAAATGGTGGGATTGTCCGTCACATTATAACGCCCCCACGGCTGAAAGGGCGAGCATGTTTGGCGGAATGGGGATTCGAACCCGCGACCCTCAGATTGCAAGTCGAGCGCCCTAACCACCTAGCCATGCCGGGCCAACAGTTAAGTTGCACATGAATTAGTGAGCTCTCTTCTTCAGAGGCTATTCTAAGGTTAAGTTTTCCAAAGAAGTTTACTTCTACAATAGTAGTTCAAGTCAACAACTATATTACATTATTCATTTATTGCTACTTTCATTATCATTATAGGTTATTATGTTTAATATATCTAATGTCATTACTTTTTGTTTCGATTCACAGTTCATTATTATTATACTTTTATTATAAACATAGTTTTACATTGTTAGCTTACTATAAATCAACAACATTATTGAGATTACGGCAGAAGATATTTTTGACAGCGAAAGTACCCAACTGATGAAAGAAACAATGCATTCTATTTAATCTTTATGAGTAGATACGCAATAAAAGTGTATTTAATCAACTATGCTGGTGACCAGGTTGACTTTTGTTTCACATCTAAGTACATAGCTTACACTGATTATAAATTAGCATCAATTATAACCAATACTAATAATGAAAGTAACATTAAAGAAAGAATGGACATATCTTACTTACAGAAAACATAAACACCATATAGTTACTTCAAGAGGGAACACTTAATAGCAGCGGCACTTGAAATTCTTTTAGGCAGGATTAGAGTAAATTAATTTATGATACTTTTTTTTCCTTTTTTTTTGTTAGCTATATTTTTATGCGCCAGCAATACCAAGCGTGGGGTGCGGCTAAAAATACATTTACTGGCTCTTATTATAACTTTACAAGCTATATATAAATTTTATTCGAAGAAAACTTAATCAATATAATCTATCTTTCATATAAAACCTCATGAGTTTTACTCATAGAACTTGACAACATCAAGAAGTTTTCATATGTAATAAAGGTTTTCCTAGCTCCTTGGTATACAGAATAATCCTTAACTATTAGTCGCGGCATAACGGCTCATAGAATGGCTCTGAGTTTTTCAAGTATAAACTTTTAGTTCATAGCTCCGTCATCTCTTGACTGATTTGAGATCTAATTACAGTTTTGGACCCAGGTGGTGAAATCCTTTGGATTGATGTATTTGACCACGCCCAAGATCTCATAGATTAATCTAATCTAATCCTGCCTAAAATAATTTCAATTTGAGGGTAGGCTGATAGAGGTCCTGATGAGTAATGAAAGCAAATCTGGTATATGCGCGCCTCACGCTTGGTATTGCTGGCGCACAAAAATATAGCTAACAAAAAGGAACATAGGTTAATTTACTCTAATCCTGCTGTTACGACAGCGGTAGTCACGTGACGCTGGTAACACGTCATGATATTCTAGAAGGATCGGGGAACATCACGAATAATCCAGTATGTACTAGGCGCCCTCTATTCATGTATATAAGTGCGCCGGATCACATGAGACAAATTAATCGGAATTGAATTGAAGACAGGCAGAGATAGTGACGGACAATTGAGTCAAGCGCGGTAGTGACCGTAAGTGCGTGAATCATTGTGAATTATAGCGTATGTTTAAAGTGACTGTGGAAATTAAGTGTGTTGCAAAGTTGTATCCAGGGAAAAATAAACTAATTTTATCTAAGAAAGGACCTGTATCGCTAAAGTTTCTTCGGAAAGAATTTTTATGGAAAATTAACAAACGACTAGAGACGTAACACTGCCTAAAAGAATTTCAAGTGACACGGCTATCGAGGATTCCCTCTTGTTTGAATAAAGGAAATCTGTATTGTGTGTAAAAAACAAGAACTTCGTCCCTTTTTCGTAGAGCCTACCCGCACATACAAATATTTTGTATTTTAAAGTCAGGATGCAGTGTGCAGAATATTCTAGATATAAACATATAATATTATCACTGAAGACATAAAGTGTTGTTGTTTTTCAGTTTACTCGTCCTTATTGTAAAAGGTTATATTGGATCGTGTTTTTGTTTTTCAGCTTACTCGTCGTTATTGTAAAAGGTTATATTGAATCGTGTTTTTGTTTTTCAGTTTACTCGTCGTTTATTGTAAAAGGTTATGTTGGATCCACTACGAGATTTATGCAGACACACACATGAGGAAAAACATGCACATTTAAAAGCATCAACCAGATCGAAAATATTGAAATAGTCATTAGATAAACGTGACGTATAGCCAGTCGTCCATTGAAACTGTTTTAACCCTCAACAAGTAGGGTCATAAAGACCCACAACGACAAACTATTACAACAGTAAGAAAGAGAACTGAAACAGTACATTAGCTCTACTGATCGAGGATGTAGTACAGACAATAACGGGTAGAGGGCAGCACTAGCTGAGTTGGAATATCGACTTGAAAAATCGACGTGGGTCATTCTGGTCTCATCCTACCAGTTGAGGGAATCTTAACAACAGTCAATGACGAACAGATACATTGCATAAAATAGAACTTATTTATTCATAAGCAGAGACTGCAACTTAACCAGTTTATCATATAATCTGATATATAACTTTTACACCAACATCTACTTATGATTAATAATGGCTGGAGACGGCTTAAATGGGTAAAGAAGAAAAACTTTAATAATAAGTTTAAACAATAACAGACAAATAGTACAACGTTTACG